TATATATATATATATATATATATATATATATATATATATATATATATATATATATATATATATATATAATATATATATATATATATATATATATATATATATATATATATATATATATATATATATATATATATGTATATATATATATATATATATATATATAATATATATATATATTATATATATATATATATATATATATATATATATATATATATATATATATATATATATATATATATATATATATATATATATATATGTATATATATATATATATATATATATATATATATATATATATATATATATATATATATATATATATACCATATATGTAATAAAACATCATATGACATAACATACATGACATAATGGACAATAATCCAACATGATAGAATACCAATACAATATAGCACAAAACGATATCAAATGATCCTGCACAACAACATAGTGCTGTTGGTGCAGAGACGGTACCTTGGCTCCAGCTATTTTTAGACACAGCAAGATGCCTCATCCACAATTCATGTTATCCTTTCTCTCTTTTCTCGTTTTTTTATGATTATTTATTTACGTGTGTTATTTGGTTCTTCCACTGAAGGTACTTTTCGTGTTATGTATACTGTATGTATATTGTACATGCATATACGCGTTGAGTAAAAGCATGATCTAATGTACACATTCACACGTGCGTAAAGAACACGAATAAATAGATAAATACTTGCATGCTTAATCACACAACACACACACACACACACACACACACACACAAACACACACACACACACACACACACAACAAACAACACACACATACACACAGACACACCACACACACACACACACACACACACACACAAACACACACACACACAAACAAACAAACAAACAAACAAACAAACATGAATATATCCAAGAAGAAAAATATAAAGAGAAAGAAGGGCACTAGAAGAAATAAAGTATATGATAGGAAAATGCATTTCCAAATTAGAAGTGAAAGAACAAAGTTATTTAGAAGAGATAACTGGAAACGAATTCAAGAACCTAAATACCTCACTTGTTATACTTTTTACGGGGTTTCTTTTGAAGCGAAAAGAAATATTTAAAGGAAAATAAGAAATTGGATAAAAGGTGAATGAATGTCTATGACAAAGGTAAATAGAAATCAAATATCTCGTTTTATTATGCAATCGCCGCTTTCCTTTTACGACAAGAAGAAAAAGAAGAATAAGAATAAGAAGAAAGAAGAAATAAATCGGATAAAAGAGGAATTAAAGTATATGATAAAGACCAATAAAACCCAGATAGAATTTTCCTTTCAGACGAAGAAGGAATTTCAAAAAGGTCAAACAGGATCTCGAATAAAAGATGAATTAAGGAACACAAAAAAATATAAATCTATCCAAATATGAAGTGACAATCGAGAATTTTTTATATTCACCAGCAGCCAGAGCGCTAGACATGACTTTAAGTTCCCAAAATGTCATGTCATTTAGGAAGGTATACTGAACATGACGCCTTTCTTGCACGGAATCCTTTTTATTTATTTATTTATTATTACTATTATTTTTTTGTATGGTGTTAATAGGTTATTGCTTGTTTTTTTCTGATTTTTTTTTGTCTTTATTTGTTATATGTTCTTTACTTTCTTATCTTATCATTCTACTTTTTTCTGCTTGTTTATTTTAGATTTGATAAAAACAATAAATAACAGCTAACAGCAAACAAACAAACGATGACAATAAAGATAACAGCGAAAGAAGAATAAATAAAAAAAACACAAAAAAAAATAAACAACAAAACAACAACAACAAAAACAACACAACTACCACGACGACCAACAACACACCACACCACCAACCAACAACAACCTCAACGAAACACACCACCCCCTCCACGACCACCACTACCACCACCACCACCATCTATACGACACCACCACCACCCACCACCACCCCCTCACCCCCCACCACCCCCACACACACACCACCCCTCCACCACCAACAAAAACAACAACAACAACAAAAACACCACCACCACCACACCCCCACACCCCTCCACCACCACCACCACACCACACATCCCACCCGGCACAAAACCCCCAGCAGATACGCCACATACGCAAAAGGTGTTATTTTCTGCCATCGATCTGTCCTGAAACGCTCACGGGGTGTAGTGACCCGCCGCTTGGTGTCGCTCAGGGTACTGTGTGCAGAGGGTGTAGAGTAGGCGAGTAAGAGGGGTGATTATGGCTGTGGTCTGGAGGTTTAGGTTGTATGTGGAGGGGTGTTGAGGTCTGTCTGTCTGTTTGGTTGTGATTGGTTTGGTTGTTGTGTGTTCGTTGTTTGTTCGTTGTTTGTTGTTTGTTTTTGCTGGTCTTATTTTTTTTCTTTGTTGTTTTGTATTTTTGTTTCGGTCTTGCTTTGTCCTGTTTTGTTCTTTTCTCTTTATTGTGTGTTTATTCTATCCCTAATCTCTGTTTGTCTGTCGTCTATTTATCTCTGTCTATCTATCTATCCTCCTCTCTCTCTCTCTCTCTCTCTCTCTCTCTCTCTCTCTCTCTCTCTTCTCTCTCTCTCTCTCTCTCTCTCTCTCTCTCTCACGCACACACGCTCACTCGCTCGCTCTCGTTCCCTCTCCCTCCCTCTC